GTTTCCCGGACAACATTTCTAGTGCTGTTCCGATCGGCGGGAGCTATGTTTACAAAATTAAGTTTAATGATATATACAATAAATTTCTATGCTCCTTGTCCTTTTGAACCATTCACACTATTGCGATCGATGAACATCTATAAAACCGCGTCTATATGTCAATTTCGACCAGGTCATCTCACGCAAATAATCGTCATGTGAACTTTTCCGCGGTCATTCATACCACTGCATTCTTTCTTTCTCATTTCCTATTTCTATCTTTCGTATATGTATAACACTTGTTTGTGTCGTACTTTACCTATTAGTTCATTTATCGTTCTTTCATGACAATTAGAGCGATCTTAAAAATGTGCGGAGAACGACCACGATAGAAACGATAGAGTGAGTGAAAATTATATCGACGTCGAACGAGACGTCACTATACGAATAAGAGAAAAATTATTGTTAACGCGGAAAATATACACGAGCTTCTATATCTGTATATATATAATATATATATATATTTTTTTTTTACGTAAATTTGTATACATATATGTACAGTTCCTTATTCTCTGTCACCACTTCTTTACATGTACCCTGTTCTGTGATTTCTATCACTTTCCCCATTCTCTTTCATATCGCGATGACTATACCCTGAAAATTTTCTATATTGTTGTTATTTACGTTTCAGCCATTAGTTTTCTTTTTCTCTAATATTTTATCACAGTAGGAGGCTCGATCATCTCTCGTTTTCTCTCTTTCTCACCGTTATCATTCTCCGTTGGAAGATATTAGGTTGTCCGAAATGTTTCTTTCGTTTCATAAAGAAATAATGGAGCACAATGTATTTTGTTTTATATTAATTTATTGAATTATGCACGAACATAGTAATAGAGATAGAACTAAATGAATCATACCTAATTCAATAAAATAATATAACAGAAATTATTGTTCATCTATTGTCACCTTACGAAACGAAAGATACTTTTCGGGCAACCTAATACTAATTTACCATCTATTATAAATTGACGCGAATCGACGACTTTCCCCGATTCGATCGGTCTCTGTTTCAATCCTTTTTGCATCGCAAAGTGAAAGCACCTCAGGGGCCGGACGTAAGTTAACTTTATATTAGTCGTCGATGCGCGGTCACGTTTATAATCTAATTCATACACATACTAGCGGTATTTTTCCGTCCCTCTCTCTTGCAAACGGTGCACGAAGAAAATAGGGACCGCAAAAGCGCGGATTTGTCGCAAATTTGAAGGAATAAACAGAACTCGTTGTCCACTTGCCAAGAATGTATAACTGCAAACAAGGATCTTTCAAAAGAAATCGGCGTAGTTCCCCCTGTCTGTTGCTTGTCCTTTGTGTATTCGATTTGTGTCGAACGCCAATAGCCTCCCTCGAATCCACGGTACATCATACGCGTAACATATCCCCAAAATCTTGGTAGGGCAGGTCACTGTAAACCATTTTTTCTTAATTGATTTTATGATTCATCATTCTTTCTGTTTTGCGAAAAAATATTTTCCGCGTCACCCATATTCTTGCGATCTATTAGATTCCTGGTAGCGCAACTGCTTTAACCCGCCCCTTCCTTTTTTTTTATTTACATTTTTACAGTTTTTTTTTATCGCTATTTTTATTTTACCTGTTTCGTACTTACCTAGCTCTATTCAAGATTTAAATCTATTTCTAGCCTCGTTCATTCGTTAGTCAAATTTCCCCCCTCGGTAATGGTGACAAACTATATGCGATCCCGCCTTTAGTTTATCTGCGAGGCGAATTTCCTACCGATCTCGAAGCTTCTCGATTGCGCAATCGTTTTAACCACTCGACCCCTTTGTTATCCCGTGTTTTTCATTTTTATTTTCACTCTTACCAGATATCTTTAGCAAAATATTGACAAACGGTTAGCGCGTTAAGTCGCACATACCACAGGAACCGATTTCAGGCGTAACTTAATCTTTATTCCACACTCTCTAACCTCGTTCATTCGCTAGTCAAATTTTCTTTGGTAATGGCGACAAATTATATACGATGCGATTTTTTCCGTTTAATCTACGATGCAAATTTCATACCGAGATGGCGAGAAACTTCGGGATGCCACTCAGCCCACCCATGATCCCGTAGCTTCTCGATTGCGCAACCGTTTCAACCATTCGATACTTTTTATTTTTACCAGACTGTTTTAAACAAAATATTGATAAACCGGTTCCACGTTAAGTCGCACATACCACAGGAACTAATTTCAGGTGTAACTTAATCTTTATTCCACACTCTCTAACCTCGTTCATTCGCTAGTCAAATTTTCTTTGGTAATGGCGACAAATTATATACGATGCGATTTTTTCTGTTTAATCTACGATGCAAATTTCATACCGAGATGGCGAAAAACTTTGGCATGCCACCCAGTCCCCCCCACGGTCCTGTAGTTTCTCGATTGCGCAATCGTCTTAACCTACGAACCTTTATTTTTTTTTCTTTTTTTTATTTTTTATCTTTTTTTTTTAATTTTAACCTGATATTTTTAAGAAAATATTTTCAAACTATCACCGCGTTAAGTTGCGCATACCAAAGGAATCGATCTTAGGCATAACTTAATCTCTATTGGATACTTTTTACCCTAGTGTATTTGTTAGTGAAATTTCCTTCCGTAATTGCGACAAACCCCTTGCGATCTCGTCTAGGCCCCTACTTTCTCGTTCGCATCACTTCTCATTAGTCCTTTTTTTCTTTATTCTGTTGTTTAATCGTAAGATTTCGTAGCGTATTTTGATGTCCGGGCGAACAGCTGTCCTTCCATGCCCGACATTTTAAGCTATCCTACGATATTATTGGTTTTACGTTAGGAATTGGGATTGTTTCTTGTAACTGTGTTCTCGCGTCGCTAGTATGAGTCAGAAGAAGCACTCACCGTTGGTCAGAAGTTGTTCTCTCGTTTCTCCGACACCATCGGAGTCCAAACTCGTACGGAGATTAAAATTCTCGATCGATCGTGTTCCCCGAAACGAAACGATCGCGAGTGGAAAGAAAAGGTAAAAAAAAAACAGGGGGGAGGAAAAAAAAATGATACGACCGACATCGGTGATCCGGAACAGAGTAGTGGGGAGAAAATAAAAATGGTCGATGAGGTTTCTCTTGACTCAATCCACGAAGCTCGACACGTTTAAACTCAACAATCATCCCACCAATTCATTGACCCACGAGAAATAAATCTTAAGTGTAAACCATCCGAAATTCCCTACGTTCTGGACCCTAGAGCAGATGATCGCGACGCGGTATCAAAACGGACATTTCGCAATATCGAAAGAAGGTGCATATAAAACGGATTATAAGAGAAATAAGAGAAGCTACGGAAGAAATGTGAAAAGAGGAAAAGAATTTTATCGGCTATCGTGCATAACGGAACAAAAGGAAAGTACGTATGAAGAGAAAGAAATAAAGAAAGAAAGGACATGAGAGGGAAAGATAGCTTAACATCGCAATAGATATCACTTCGCACGATGTTCTTACGACATCGGACGAGTCTCGTTGTTTATCTAGCGCGTCGTTGCTAGATCGTCTTCGTAAATCTTGCAAAATATCGCTGGTTTCGCGCGCGATTCTATCACGCTCCCACGATGAATTAATCTCGTCGATCGTCTGATTGATCGAGTGAACGCGTCCTAACATTTCTAAACGCTTCATCTAACCCGGCATCCGAAACGTGATCATTCTTCCAACCGAATTAAAGCAGTAAGGTGCGGCGAAGAACAAGAACGCCCACTCTGTTTTATCACGTTCGAGTACATCGTTTCGGCAAGAAGCAGAATAACAGGAGGAAGAAAAATATCTGTTTAGAAAGAGATTGCTTTGCAGGCGAAATTTGCGATGGTTCGGTTAAAACGAATGGGATAAAACGACGCTGTCTTATTTAGCTGCTAACCATTGTGTTGATTTACACTCGATAGATTGTTCGATTGGGGATAGCTCGCGTAATCTTGTTACGTAGTCTGCTAGTTACTCGCCATTATCTCGGATTAGAGCGGTGACTAGCATGGGATTTCTGATAGCGGCGCTAATTGTTCCGTACTGAGGACTGATCATCAGGGTCCAGAAGTAGAAATGTCGCGGTGAATGATATTAGCGTGAAAATGCAAAGGCGCTAGATTTGCGGATGGCAAGCGGGGGTGTTGCTTTACGGGTAGTTGCTACGAGATGCGATCGATTCGGCTCTAAATCAGCTCCAAATCGCTCGCGATCGCTCGTACCACGTTCGAGGTTGTTTTTTTTTCAACGTTATATATTTATGATAAACATGGATAATTCCGTCGTACGATTTCTTTACTAAACGGTTGTCGTTCTTTCCGACAGTTTCTTTAGTTTGCTTGGAAGCTCGAACGTGGACACAAGCTATATTTTAGGTTGTCTGAAAAGTTTCTTCCGTTTTACAAGGAAATAATAGATGCACTGTGTTTTCTGTTTTATATTAGATTATTAAATTATGCACAAACGTAATAATAAAAATAGAACGAAATGGATCATACTGCCTAATTCAATAAAATAACATAAAACAGTAATTGTCGTTCATCTATTATCACCTTATGAAACGAAAGCAACTTTTCGGATAACTTAATACTACTAAGGGAAAAGGATAAACCGAGAGCGTCTTTCTCGATGGTTAACCATGATGCAACTACGATTATCGTGCAAAGATACAATTGCACGTAGCGAGGACGGATTTTACGTGAAATGTAAGCTTAATCGATCTAAAAGACATAATCAACTCGATCAAGGTTTATCCTACCCTTGTAGGGCAATGTAAAAGGAACAACAAATACTATCGAGTCCTGCTAGATGGAAAGTTACGGAATTCTCGTTCGATCATTCAACGATCGATAATCAATTAACGAACTACATTCAACTATAATTATATTTAAAAAAGTATCATTTATCCATCGAGCAAGATAACGATCATAGGCTTAAATGTAGGCCCATAAGCAGGCAAAAAATAGTAACAAAAAAATTGAGCTTACATGTGACCAAGTGGCGGTATTGAGGGATGATGCTGTGCCAGCGGATCCGGTGACGGACCAGGCGAATAGACACCGGCGCCGTGCTGGACGACTCCTTGCTCGACACCCTGGGGCAGATACATCGAGATCATTTGTCTCAAATCACCCTGCGCCTGCTGATTCTGTTGCTGGCCCATGTATTCCCGTTTCACAACTTGCCCCCCAGCTGCGCCTGTCGACGACGCTGCCGTTGGTGGTGTGTGAATTCCGCCGCTCGCTGGACTCGTCGGTTCGGATTTTATACTACTGCCGCTCGGACTGTGACTGGAAATTTGCGATCCTGGCTGCGCTTGATGGTACGGTGATGGGGATCCGCCTGGTACGCTGCCACTGCCGTAACCACCGTAACCGTTCATGTAGCTATTTATGGGACTCGGACTACCACCGCCCATGTGATGGCCCATATCGTACCTGGGATACCCAGCAGCAGAAGCAGCTGCAGCGGCTGCTGCGCCTCCCATGTGACCGCCATACGCAACGTGCTGCTGATAAGCGGCTGTGGGATCGTGCATCATATATCCGTTCGGCATATAACCGTTTGGCATTTGATACACATCACGGGATAATTGAGCTTGTTGCGGCCCACCGGTAGCACCGACTTGCCGCTGATCTACGCCCAGCATACCTCCGACGCCGGCTACTCCGCTTCCAATTGGGAATTTGTCTTTCTTCAGCAAGGTTTTTGTTTTACGGCGTGGTCTATATTTGTAGTCGGGATGTTCTTTCATATGCACCGCGCGTAATCGTTTCGCTTCATCGATGAATGGACGTTTTTCAGTTTCACTGAGTAGTTTCCACTCTGCACCCAATCGTTTCGAAATTTCTGAGTTGTGCATCTTTGGATTTTCTTGAGCCATCTTACGCCGTTGGCCACGGGACCACACCATAAACGCGTTCATCGGCCTTTTCACGCGGTCGATGTTGTTGTTCTTACTGGTATTGTTATTGTTGTTCGGTGCCTGATGATGTTGAGGCGGTGGTGGTTGCTGCTGTTGCTGTTGCTGTTGCTGTTGCTGCTGGTGCGGGTGATGTTGCTGTTGTTGTGCAGCGTTTTGTTGCGCCAACGAATGCATGCTTTGTTGTTGTGCCGCCTGCATGGATGTGTAATGATGTTGAGGCGTTTGATGATGATGTTGTAAACCTAACGTTAAACCTCCGGTACTCGGAGGACTTCCTGATAACGCTGGGCTATGAACTATCGAGCCGAGGGTACCGTACGGTGATACACCGGTATGGTGTCCCATTGGCGAAACACCTTGATGCGGATGAGGTGGCATTTGACCGTGCAGGCTGCCGCCTTTTAGGTCAGACTCCATCGTAAGCATGTCTTCCTCCCTGTGCCCGTACAGTTTGCTGCCTTTTTTTTGTACTACTCGACGTCAAGAAATTCGACGAAACGCCGAAAAGGACGCGGTAGCGCACTGTCGAAGAACGTTGACGCGCCGAGTCTCCTGTCAATCCACGACGGAAATTCGAATCTGGCGAATACTACGCACCAAATGAATTGCTCCTTATTTCTCTTGGATTATGTGACATGGAAGCTGTACCGTCCAATTCCCCCTCGGTCAAACGAGATTGTTTTAACTTCTTTCGATTACTGCACCACTTGTTGAAATTTACGCGCGACAACACAACCACCGACACCGTTTCCAAACTGCTGGAACACTATACTGATTTGACACGGCGCTGCGTACGAGTCCGCGTACGATTCTCAACGCCAACGACCAACAACCAATGTTTACACGTCCGACGACGATTATTCACTGTCACTGTACTTTCTCTTCTCACTGTGTCCAAGATAATAACATCGACGCCGATGACTCCTCTCGACGCTCCTACGTCGTTACACGCGTATTGCTGTGCGTTCACTGTTGCGAGCTTTATTCGATTCACTGAGTTGTCCCCGTTCGAATTCTCTCCTACTACTACTCTTATTCCTATGTACTAATGCAGAGATGCAGAAGAACAAGACCGACTCCTAGCAACACCTCCTCTCTCTACGGAGGGAACTGACTGTCTGAGCATTTGTGGATTTCGCCTTCGGGTCCCACTCTCGGGGCTCACTTCCTGCCGAGGCGACTGTCCCCCCTCTCTCTGTTTTTCGACGCTCACTGCCCCTTCTCTAAGCAACCCTACCTACCTTGCTACCAACAACCATACCCAACCGACCGTCGGACCAGACCCGAGCCTACCAACGGCAATCGATTGGCACGCAAGCCTGCCATCATTTCTCTCGACCAATCGCGCGGCTCCCTTCGACGCCGAAGGCGGCGCCATTACGCCGTGACGTCATGCCAACAACCCCGACGACCTCTCGCGGTATAGCTTTCACCCCCTCCCCCGCACCCCTCCAAGTTCGCTCACTTCGTCGCTTCTCACTTCGACTCACGCTTTTTTCTTCCCAGCTTTTTCGCTCTCTCTCTCTCGCTCCCTCTTTGCCAACTGCACGAGCGTTCGTCTCTCGCCTGGCGATCTTCGCCTCGCTCCGTTTCTGCCCTCGGCTCTTCGGGTCGCCAGTGTTTCGTCCACGCGTTCTTCTGCCCAGCATTCTCACCCCCCGCCCCCTATCCGCTTTCCACCCTCAAAACACTCACGAAACGTTCGTCAACGCCGGACGCTAGAACAGCGCGCGTCTCCTTTCTCTATCGCACCCCGCACTCTCTTTCACCCTTACATTTCCTTCTTCCAACGCATCTACGTGCGATTTCTACCGTGACCTTCGAATTTTCCTTACCAACGCGCAATAATATTCACATATTTGGCTACGTTATGACTGGTTTTAGGGCCCAATAGTATGTTTTTTTTTCCTCGTTATAGATACAGGCGATTAGAGGCTGGCGTAACGAATTAGTTTTGCTCTTGGTATCGCTTGACCGGGTCAAAGGTGGAGACGATACGCTTGTAAAACATAGAATAGGTATATATTGAATAAGTATATATTGCAAGGGTTTAACTTTCAGCAACGTTGGTCGAGATAATAATTTCACGCTGTTACTTTACGCTGAACTGGCGAGTACGCGTGCAAGTGCATTCTAACTGCGTAGGCTATCGTATCTTATCGATGTTTTGCCTCGTATCGCGCTTTCTTCCTGACCAGTAATTTTTTTAGTAGAAAGTAGCCTTCGTCGGAATTATTTTTATCCCAACCAGATTTTCGATTGCAAACGAATCGTTCAACTTTTGGCACGCCAGCGTTTTCTCATTTCCTTTTCTTTTTTTCCGATGCTTTGCGATGCTTCGAGGATTTGCAGCGACTCGAGAACTCGTATTTTCTATTTAGGAACAAACTATCTATCGTGCAAACTATTTGCGAATATATCGTGCGTGGTATGAAACACGGTTTGAACTTTTGTCGACGCTGTAACGAGCATCGTTATTAACGTTGGTCAAGTTTGAAACAAATCTAGAACCCAGATAGAAATTACAAGATTTCTCGTTGTATCACGTGCAAGTATTTGAACAACCAATTATCCATTGAATTATTTAAATATATACGTTCAATTATACCTGATATAATTTACCGAGTTCGTTTTTAACATTAATTCAACGTTCATTTTGTTATCTGGGAAAGGTACACGTTTACAGGAAACGTGATTTCTATATGCATACATTTTCCGACTTATATCGAACTTTACCACCACAACAGTGATTCTCATATCTCGCAGCAGTGTCAAGGAAATTTAATAAAATTTATTTACCAACATTTTTCTATCCTACCTATGTAAATGCTTCCGTGAATGTGAAACACGTATTGACAGAGATACTATGCATTTTTTACGATACCTGATCACACGAATGATATCTGTAAACATTTTCTACGATAAGCTCAAGTGCTTTCGCGAAAATTCACCACGTATTAAGCACATATTGAAAATGTTAGCAATGATTAGCTCATCGTGGTCAATCGAATGTCCTACGATAATCTATGAAAATTCTGCGCGACGAGTTCGAATACTTTCGTAAATATCGGACGCTCACGAAACGTTCGTCAACGCCGGACGCTAGAACAGCGCGCGTCTCCTTTCTCTATCGCACCCCGCACTCTCTTTCACCCTTACATTTCCTTCTTCCAACGCATCTACGTGCGATTTCTACCGTGACCTTCGAATTTTCCTTACCAACGCGCAATAATATTCACATATTTGGCTACGTTATGACTGGTTTTAGGGCCCAATAGTATGTTTTTTTTTCCTCGTTATAGATACAGGCGATTAGAGGCTGGCGTAACGAATTAGTTTTGCTCTTGGTATCGCTTGACCGGGTCAAAGGTGGAGACGATACGCTTGTAAAACATAGAATAGGTATATATTGAATAAGTATATATTGCAAGGGTTTAACTTTCAGCAACGTTGGTCGAGATAATAATTTCACGCTGTTACTTTACGCTGAACTGGCGAGTACGCGTGCAAGTGCATTCTAACTGCGTAGGCTATCGTATCTTATCGATGTTTTGCCTCGTATCGCGCTTTCTTCCTGACCAGTAATTTTTTTAGTAGAAAGTAGCCTTCGTCGGAATTATTTTTATCCCAACCAGATTTTCGATTGCAAACGAATCGTTCAACTTTTGGCACGCCAGCGTTTTCTCATTTCCTTTTCTTTTTTTCCGATGCTTTGCGATGCTTCGAGGATTTGCAGCGACTCGAGAACTCGTATTTTCTATTTAGGAACAAACTATCTATCGTGCAAACTATTTGCGAATATATCGTGCGTGGTATGAAACACGGTTTGAACTTTTGTCGACGCTGTAACGAGCATCGTTATTAACGTTGGTCAAGTTTGAAACAAATCTAGAACCCAGATAGAAATTACAAGATTTCTCGTTGTATCACGTGCAAGTATTTGAACAACCAATTATCCATTGAATTATTTAAATATATACGTTCAATTATACCTGATATAATTTACCGAGTTCGTTTTTAACATTAATTCAACGTTCATTTTGTTATCTGGGAAAGGTACACGTTTACAGGAAACGTGATTTCTATATGCATACATTTTCCGACTTATATCGAACTTTACCACCACAACAGTGATTCTCATATCTCGCAGCAGTGTCAAGGAAATTTAATAAAATTTATTTACCAACATTTTTCTATCCTACCTATGTAAATGCTTCCGTGAATGTGAAACACGTATTGACAGAGATACTATGCATTTTTTACGATACCTGATCACACGAATGATATCTGTAAACATTTTCTACGATAAGCTCAAGTGCTTTCGCGAAAATTCACCACGTATTAAGCACATATTGAAAATGTTAGCAATGATTAGCTCATCGTGATCAATCGAATGTCGATAATCTATGAAAATTCTACGCGACGAGTTCGAATACTTTCGTGAATATCGAACAAATATTGAAACTATTAACAAAGATCAATCATCATGGTCGATTACATTTCCTACGATGTCTAATCACACCGGTGAGTATACATGTTCTTTCGTCGAACCGCGAAACGTCTCGGCTAATTTACCGTTTGCGGGCGCGTTAGCTGGCGTCGCGCTTCGTCGTATTCAAATCACCCATTATATCCGACCGACTTGACCCATTTTCTCCTTGTCTCTTCTCGTTCCCCTTACTTTCTCTCTCTCTCTTTCTCTCCCTCCTTCTTTCTTTTTTTTCTCCTTTTCATTCAACTCGCCGGTGTTCCTCCGGCCTTTCCTCTTCGTCTCTCGTTCGTGAAATCCACAAAGAGGCTCACGAGCCATTCCTGAAAGAACCTCCATCGGCCGATGCGACTCCGTTTAAGCGCGGCTCATGCGTAGGACCTGTTGCCGCGGCCCACTAGCCAGACAAAGACAGAGAGAATCGACGCGGGAGAAAGCCAGAGAAAGAGCGAAACGCATAATGGAAGAATGCGTCATAGATAATCGTAGCGCAACCCCGGTGTGCACTGTGCGTCAGTGACAATGAGAATAGGGGCAGCCGGATAGAGTTCTATTCCAACGTTCAGTATCGTTCAATTTCGACGAATACTTGCTTCTATTTCGCCTCTCTCTCTCTCTCTTTTTCTATCCTTCCCTGGTTACCCCTACTTGTTCAGCATAGAACGCTAAAACACTGAAATTTCTTGGGAAAATCCGTTTCAAGGTGTCGTAAATATATGGGTGTGTCAATAATGTAACGTATTTACCGTTACAGTGGTGGAAACTTATGAGTCATTTATGACCTGTTGTCATCAGAAATGTCAAGGGCACAGGGCGGCCTGGTAGCAGTCATAAAGTGTTAGATAGAAAAACGCGATAAGAAGATTATCGCCGAGGAAACGAGCGTCCCTATTAGTATCCTCATGTACTTTTCAAGCTTCGAAACTTTATTTTCTTTTACCGATATCTTGGATCATGCTGGTCTGATATATAATTAGAATGAAATTTTTGGTTTATTTATAATTGAGTTCTATCGACAGAGTTTCTTTGGCGAATTACAATGAAATTTTGTCAATATTCTTACAAACATCGAGGCACTTCTTCCATTTCGTTCGGTAATTTTCATTCGGTACATTTTTCTATGTCGTAATTCAAAATTTGTTAACGATGTACATCCTTCTTCGGTAAATTGCCCTCTATTTCGTAGAATATACTTCTTAGTTTTTCGAAATTCGTAATATTTCATGCCTTACTGTCTACCTGCTTCGGGTAGAGATATAACCTGGGAAAGCTTAAAGGCTCTTTGGCGAAAAATAAGTATTCTCAATATTTACTTCATCTCTTCATTTTCTTTTAACTCTCACTAGTTATATGTTATTTATTAATAAATAAATAAATAAACAAATAAATAAACAAATAAATAAATAAATAAATGAATTAATTAATTAAATGTTCTATATTAAATGAGATTTGTGAAGAACGAATGATCGTCGTTGTTGTAATTTACGAGCGATGCAGCTCTCGATAAAATGGCACAATAATTTTCCATTCGATCGTTGGTCTTCTTCCATTTGTTTGTTTGTTTGTTCTTTTGTCTTCTTCTGGTTATCCTGTATCGGCTACTCAACTTTACCTGCGTTTCTTTGTCTTCAGATATCGATTATTGTTATTTGCTAATCCTAAATGCACGTTTCGCAAATAATATACAATTCAGACAGGTTTTCTCTTAAAGTAGCGTTCAACACATTATATTATATATATATTACATATAATCTGATTCTTTCTTTAAATTATGTGTTCTTATAACACGCTTGTAACACTGAATTATTCGTTGAAACGTTTCCGAAACACGTATTACTAAACCCTACTATACTGACGTATTAGTAACTATAATAAGAAGAAAAATTTAAATGTTTCATAGATTTCGTAATGGTATAGTTTCGTAATAAAACTCGCCAGGGCGACAGAGAGAGTTGTATTTCAGAAGCTGTTGCAATTATGCACGAGTGAGAGAAGATGGCTGGTCCGATAAGACGGGCAAGGTCGTCTTGATAAGATTACCGGGCTGATAAGCGAAGTGCAAGGTCTCCGTAATGACTCAATCTATCGATCGATCGATCTTTCTAATCGTTGTAGGTAACGCACGCTTGTTATCTCCTCCTCGTGGATCGCACTTTCGCCACGCTTCTATCTCGTTACGATGAATCTCGTAGCGATTACGAGGATTCCAGCCGCCGGAACGTGCAATAAATCAAAACGGAAAAAGGTAATCAGAGGAACATTCTGACGTGGCAGTGAAAAACCTACCAATGACGTGTCACCATTGCGAGAAGGAGATGTGTAGTAAATGATGCATCGAACTTTAAGCCCTAAGATTCACATCTGCTTAACTTGCAAAATTTTATGGTTATTGCTGTCAGGGTCGTTAGGAACCTTAAGCCCACCGATTGCCACAAAATTAACCTACCTGTACCCTGTTCCAAACACGATTCCGAGGAACTGTATAGTAAACAAGGGTACCGAGGGTACCGAACCTTCCA